TTTATTTCATTGTTGGTAATACTACATTTCCCTGATGAGCCCTATTTCTTATGCTGTTGGCCATTTGTCCTGTTTTATGAGGTTCTTATTCAAGTTTTGTTTTGTTTTTTTTTTTCCTTTTTATTAATTGGGTTCATTTTTTTCCTTAGTTATTTGCTGGCAGTTTTGCATATTTTACATACACATCTCATTGGATATATAAATTACAAATATCTTCTCTTACTGTGCAGTTTGCCATTTCTTCTCTTAGTATCTTTTGATTAATAGAAGCTCTTTATTTTGGTGAAGTCCAATTTATTTATAATTTTTCTTTATATTTTGTGCTTTTTACATTTTAAAAAACTCATTGCTTTTCCATCTTCTGGATATTTTGAAGCAGAAAATCACGTGTAGAGCTTTCTGGTATAGAAAGTTAGTTACTGTCATACTGGACAGTTGCATTCTTACATTAGCTGTTGGCCTCAAAGGTGTCCTGAGCCCCTGTATTTATGAAATACATTAGCTTTTACAAAACCCTTTCCCCTTCATTCTCATTTGATCCCAGGTAGGAGTCATTAAAGCTCTTGCAGACTGGCCTCATCTAATTTGACAGCTGAGGACTGAGGTGGTTACATGTGCTGTCTGGGGGCTGTGGCACCTTCACATTTGCTGTGATCTTTGCACAAGGGTAAAGTGTTAGACTGCTGGCTTCATGTCCTGGCCCTGTCACTGTGGACGAGGTACTTGTCCTCGCTGAACTTCAGTTGTCTGTGTCATCCGCTAAATGGGAGTAATGACAGAGTGCCTATCTCATGATGTAGTTATGAAGATTAAATGATTTATTTTATATATAGTGTTCAGCACAGCATCTGACACATGGTGGTGCGTTTATATTGTTATTGTTGTTCCTTTATGATTGTGTTGCAGATATCATAATTCTCTGGAGAGTTAGGAAGAGCTTGATTATTTGCTCCATTTCTCTTTCCTAGCTTTGTATTTTCCCTTCCTCATTCCTCTCTCCCCCTTGAGACTTCTGTCTGTTTTGCTAATCCCCTCTTTTTTTCTCCTTTTTATTTATTTATACAAGCACTGGGTACAGTCAGAATCGCGGGAGGGTGAGAGAATTCACCTGAGCCAGAGCAGGGAACAGAACAGACGAAATACACTGCTGAGGGGAGCAGCGGGAGTGGCAGGAGATAATCCCCTCTTTTCTTATGAAAGGCCACATGCATTTCAAACATGAACTAAATTGGTGCCCTGTATGAGGTGTGAAAGTGTGCCATCATATAGGCACTGACAGAAAGTGTAGGGTCTTGGAGTGTTTGGCTTGCTTTATTTTGTTTTGTGGAATAGAAGAATGGGGATGGTAAATGTGGACAGGAAGTTAATGCTTGATTCCAAAGTAAAGAGTGTTGACCCTTTGACCTTGGTTATGGGAAATTTTCACATATAAGAGATTTATTTAGTAGTGGTTTCAATTGTAATGAAGGAAAATAAATTTGGAGCTGAAGAAGTATTTTGTAGACATCTAGAAGGATAGTACTGTGATCTGGACCTACAGCCATGAGGCTGAACGAAAATCATCAGAACTTAGGGTTATAAGGTTGGAACTAAGTATGTTATATCCACTTCTCCATTATCCCTCCCATAATAAAAGGGAACTATGCTACCTGTGGAAAAGAGCTTGTATTTTGATATTTCTTCTTGAAATGGAAACAAAACCTGCTGATTTTCCTGATTACCAAGGCTAACTGGCCCACCCTTCATAGACTCTGAGTTTGCCTGAACTTCCTCTTTGTGACGCCAGCTGGAAATTTCACACTGTGTGCAATGAAGTTGAAGTGACATCTGCGAGGTCCTGGAGATCTTGGTATTGTAGGTGACTGTTGTGGTCTCACTCTTTGCTGGTAAGCATCCAGCAGAAAGTGAACTGAGACATAATGGCTATTTGACCCCAGTGTAGAAAGGAGGATGTCTTTGTTTTCTAGTGCACGGGTAGCTAGAACAACAGGGTAGGGATGGGTGGGCAACCCAAGACAGCAGGCCTCAGACCTGACTGTGCATCAGGATCACCTAGGGTATTGCTTAAAGTCTAGGTTCTCAGACCCAGACCAAAAGTTCAGATCCAGCAGTCTGGGGTTGGGCTGGGAATTTCTATTTGAAGGGAATGTTTGATTCTGAAGCTGCTCCTCAGGTATAATACTTTGAGCAACAAAGTTCCAGGTCCAAGGAGTTGAGAGTTCTGTAGTAAAATGCAGCTTCATGGGCTTTCTATTTCAAATTCATTAAAGCTTTGTGCTTGGCTCTTTAATAGATGGAAAGGTAGATTCAACCACTGTGTTGCCAAGTCATAGGTCAACTGTGTGGAGCCCTGGCTGCAGATAGTCTGCAGACATCCAGCAGGTCTGGAACACCGAATGGGCTGATGGTGGTAGTTGGGCACTTGAGTGTGAGAATGACAATTTCTGAGAAAGAGGAAGAAGAACCCTGGCAGGTGCTAGTGGAGAGAGGAATTGTTATAGGACAGGGAGAGGGTCAGCCCAAGCCCCGCAAACCTGCCTATTCTAAATGGATTCTGCCATCCGCCGCATCAACACAAAACATAGGAGACTTTAATGGGAAGGAACTTTAATTAAACTAGGAAACAATACAGGTGAGGCAAAGAGTCCAGTTTCTAAATGAAGCACCCAAAGTTACCCATCCCCTCGTGGGTAAAACTCCATCCATATGGGGTCGGCCCAGAGCAAGGCCCCAAAGCCTGCCACAAGTCTAAAACATCTTCCAGTGGGGACCCACAGAAAAGGGTCACAAACAACCGGACAAGCCCAGAAGGAAAAGAGCAAAATCAACATCAAGATAAAAGCTGCCATTGTCACCTCCCCACAGGTCTCACCCACATCTGTGTCACCCCGTCCACGACCAAAAGACAAGCACAGTTTCTTTACGTGTCTCTAGGCTCCATGCGCCTCCTCCAAGTCTCCTTGCTCCATCCTGCTTCCTTTCTTCCTCAGTCTCTTCTTGCAGCTTCTTCTCTTCCTGCTCAGCTCCACCCTCCCTTGGGTGGGGCAGGGAACCTCCCCCTTTCCTGGGGACCACCCTGTTACAGAATTACTGTATCTCCTGAGTCATCTTTGCTGTAGTGTGCCAGGGCTCAGTGTGGCCTTCATAGGAATGACTGCTCCTAAGAACTCTGTATCCCTTGTCCCTCCCATCACCTGCCTCTCATGCTCAAACACTCAGACACCTGCTTACACCCTTCCCACCCACATTCACCACTCTTTTTCTCTCCCCCGCACAGGTTCACAACATCACACCTGCACCTCAGTGCCCTTAAATAACAGCCCTTCAGTATTTACATGCTCATATCTTTGAAAACTTTTTTCTTAGGCAATGTTGAGGGTTGATCAATAAAAAGAAGCAAATGTGATATTTAAAACATGTTCAACATAAGTAAGTCTCTATGGACCTCAGGCTTGCTTATTGGACCTCTTTCTTTCTTTAGGCTTTCTCAGACTTTATTTTTTATTTATTTTTTTAAAGATTTATTTATTTTTATACAAGAACTGGAGTATAGGCCAGAGATGTGGGTGGTGTGTGTGAGAGGATTCTCCAGAGACAGAGCCGGGAACAGAACAGGCAGAAGGACTGAAGTACACTGCTGAGGGGAGCAGCGGGCGAGACAGGAGAGGTCTGACCCGCCATGTGGGTTTCTCCCTGACTGGCTGGGAATCGAACTTGTGCTGCTGTGGCTGCGGATTGCTTCATAGGGTGCGTCTTAACCCCTGCACCGCCAGGGAGGCCCCTTTCTCAGACTTTAAAGATGAGGATTTGAGTCAGCAGTGTTTAACTTTTTGAGTTGGTACCTTCTTGGATAACCTGATGAACAGTTTGAATTGATTTTACAGAAAAATCCACATACCTTAAGGGGTGAAGGAGGGGGAGGTGGTTTATGGAGTCTCTGGGGCCCATCTGTGGACCTAAGCAAAGAACTCTGCTTAATGAGCATACAGAGCTTTTAGCCCCTTCTCTCAAGTTCTGTTTTATGACACAAGTATCTTTTTCTCATGAGTGCCATCTGTAATGGGAACACAACAAACACCATTTGGTATTGTGCATGCTTTCTGGAGTGTTTGTGTTCAGTTTGAAAGAGTAAGCCAATTTCAGTGAGAGTGAAAAAGCTAATGCCTGTAAAACACTTTGCACCTGATGTGGCATTTATTCATTCTTTTTTTAAATCTTTTTTAAAGATTTATTTATTTATACAAGAACTGGGGTACAGGCCAGAGGCACGGGAGGGTGAGAGAACTCATCAGAGACAGAGCAGGGAGCAGAACAGGCAGACTGACTGAAATACACTGCTGCGGGGAGCAGCCGGCGAGAAGGAGAGGTCTGCCGTGCCATGTGGGAATCTCCCTGGCCAGCCGGGAGTCAAACTGGCGCTGCAGAGGCTGTGGACAACTTCACAGTGCTGCGGTCAGCCCACTGTGTCACCAGGGAGGCCTCAATTTATTCATTCTTCAAAAAATACTACATATGTTTAATCACAACTACAAAGCCGACTACCTCTATAAAACTTCTCCATGTCAAGAGTAGTTTAGAAATATTGGACTAGTTAGTAGATTGGGATCCCCCCAGCTTGAATGTTTCCTTCCTTTTCCTTCAATAATTATTTATTGCTCTCCTATTATGAGTGAACACTTTGTGAAGTATTTTGGAGAATAGGAATGAATAAGATCTCAAGGATCTGAACAAGGTCTATAGGAATTGCTTTACTGCTCTGTGACCCTAACCTGGGTAGGGTCTTATCTTCTATGTTTCATCCTGGCCCCTGAAGGAGATGGGCTTATTGATGACTTTGCTTAGTGAGACTGAACAGTGGCTCAGAAAGCCAGTGGTGTACCTCTCTCGGTGTTGTTAACCCCAGAAACCTCTCACAGCAGGTGTTTCTTTAAGTTTTACCTTCGCCAGGCTCTCTCTCCTTCGGACACTGGGTTCACATTCATGTCCTCCTCTCTCTGCAGGCCAGGGGTTATCACCATGCAGGCGATGTCGGAAGAGGACCGGAGGCTCTGGATGGAAGCCATGGATGGCCGGGAACCTGTAAGTAACAATTCAGGGAAACACAGCAAGAATAAAGCTGCTGAGTTGCGTGCTGCTTCCCTAGTTCAGTGATTTTTGCTGTTGCTCTAAAGCCTTGGGTTCCTGATGCCAATGTACCAGAGGGAGTTTTTTATTCCCAGGCTAATACTTATAGCTACTGTTACTATTTCTGTGTGAGTACAGTCCCAGAACTTTGACCTCTTACTGCTAAAGCATGAGTTCAACATGATCCTACACCAGAACTCCCCCTTCACCAAGGCAACAGTCCAGTCTGGCTGGCTGAATATTTCTTGACTATATGATACCTCCACAGAGTAGGGTGCAAAGCATTATCTGAAACCTCTTTTAATGGGACAAATGATCATAAATGTATATGCATATTACACAGTATCTTTTATCTTCACTTTCTGGCTCTGCCTCCCCTTGCTGTAATAGCCTGCATGCCATTATAAAAAGTGGGGTTATTAAGATTGATGAAAGGAGGTAAGCCTGATAATGTGGTCCATGCTCCCATTTAAGAGATGCTGGTCTTTACTAGCAGATAGATTTGTAGATTTTCTGCATTTGAGACATATAAAACCCAGGTAAGAGCCCTGGGGAAGCCTTGGAGTCAGAGTAGTTGTCTTACCTTGGTGATTACTAGCTCACCTCCATTGTTGAGCAAACCTCAAGGTAGTAGAAATGCTGAGTACAGTCTAACTATGTCCCACCAATAAAAAGTAAAAGAATCTGTAATGTCAGAGGGCTGGTAATTATGGCTTGCAAAGTTACTATCTGAAAGGGGAACCATGTACAAGGGACATTAGGTCATGACCTTCATTGACCATAGAATTAAGGACATCAAGCTGGATGTCCAGTATGGATTATTTCAATTTGTTTATGTGTTTCTTTCTTAGCCCACCCTGTTTAGGTGATCTGTATTGATGAATGTACCTTTTTACTCAGATATTTTGTATACAATTATGGAACTCAGTATAAAATGACTAAGCATAAATGACTAGTGTTTGCATAACATTTAATAATATATAGAGCGAGATTTAAAGAACTGTTTAAAAATTTTGGCACAGTTTGCTAAATTCTATTTAAACATTGTTTACTCTTATTTCTTCTCTTGTTCTAAATAAGATACCAGTGATTTTCCCTGGATATGTTGTTCCCGATAGAAATACTCTCAAAGCAGATACTCTTTTCTGCTGCGGACCAGCACAGCAGTAGACGATGAGGCCACCTCAGGGTTGAGAGAAGCGTGCAGGGTGGTCAGGGCGTCGGTGAAAGAAATGACAAACAGACACACTTCAAGAGTGAAAATCTGAGTGTAATTTTCTTTGAGTTTGTGACCAGTATATATATGTTTTCCAAAAGCACAGGAATGAATATCAATGAAATTAGCTTGCTCATGGGCTCAGTCTATCACCATCAGGGAGGTGATCTACATAACAAGCAATGACCATTATAGAAGAAAGAAGGAAGTTTAGAAAGACAAATAAGGGATTAAAGTTTGTAGTTCTAGAAAGACTGGATAAGATTTTTAGCATTCTTGTAGTGGTTCTTGGTGGTCGTTATCTTTTGATAAGCTTCTGCCTTTTCAGGGAACTTCTGCTGAACTTCCTCTGCTTCAGGGTGTTATGCTGTTCTCCCCCTGCGCGCTGGTTGCCCAGCCGGACCTAGGGACCGTGGGGAAAGCCATTCCTAAAGATCACTGGGGGGGAGGTGCAGCAGGTATGTAGGGTTTTGCTGTTCTCCCCCTACGCGCTGGTTGCCCAGCCGGACCAAGGGCCGGTTAACCCTAAAGGTCACTTCAGGGGGAGGTGCAGCACTTTTCTACCTTTAGGGTTTTGTGAAACAATAGCTGCTTTATATCAGAGGCCTTGGGAATCAGATTTCTGAGTAATCCTTGATCTTTGCTATTATCATTTATCGTTAGATGAACACTTCTTTTGTGTATAGGGCATGGATTTGATACATCTCTTAACCCACTTATTTCTGTTAGTACCTTAGAACATAAGTTATGATTCTGTTTCACAAGTGAGGAAACTGAACTTTAAAGGGGTTGAATAACTTGTCCCAAGCTGCACAGATGGTAAGCAACTGTATTAATAGAGCACAGGCTGGGTTACATTAGCAACCAGACTCTAAACTATGGTTCCTTAAATAAGACAGAAATTTATTTCTCTCTCAGTGCCCAGAAGTGAACAGTCTATCTGTGGCAGGGGGTACAGCCATTCTTAACTAGGTCTCAACCAGTCACTGCCTTTTTCCAACCAGATAATATTGATGAAAGTATCCAGGACCCAAAAAGTGCACATCACTTGCATTGATCCAAACATAATTATATGGCCACGTCTATCTGTAAAAGCAGATAGAAAATCTAGGTTATCATAGGGAGCAAATGGCCCAGCCAGTGCCCCAGCGCATCTTATCACTTTGAGGAAGAAAGTACTGTGGGGGTGATTAACATTCTCACCTCAATAGCAGAGCTAGAATTTGAATGCAGGTCTAGCCTTACATGTATTTAGTTTTCCTATTTAATTGAGATAAAATGTCATATTACCGTCTAAGAATACTCACTCAGTTCATTTTTACAATGCCTCTTTGAGCCTCTTGAATATTTCTGCAATTTGTAAGGGAAGAAGTAACCAGGGTGAAAAATCCTGTCAGACCTCTGTTATTCTTGGTGTGGATAAAAAACCCACTACCATTTTTTTTTTGTGTGTGTTTCCTGCCAATAAACTGGAGCTCTTTAACTGTTTTACCAACTCCATTTTAATCCTCCCCTTCCCCACTCTCTCTACCACTTTATATTTGTTCTCTGTATATAATTGCTCTTCTTTCCTAGCTACTTCAATTTTCCCATAGGTTAACATCTGGCCTCTGCAGATGGAAAGTGTGCTGTTGAAAGAAACATCTCTTTGCTTTAGAATGTACATATTAAAACAAGTTTAAACACAAACTAATTCTGTTTCTAAACATAATATGAACTTATTTTCTCACAGGAACTTATAACTTGTATTGAAAACCATACCTCTGTGTGATTTTTAGTTTCCTATATAGAGAGATAAATACAGAACAAATGATGACTGTATAATTGCCAGGAATATCAGGCTTAATTTTGTCTCCCATTGCTGAGAGCCTCTAGGGAACATTACTGGAGATATATACCCAGTAGACAATTAGCAGCTCCAGTTTTAATCACCATCTCCCTAATTAGTTAAATCTGTCCCCTTGAGAGTTTTGGTTTTGGTAAGAGAGCACAAACCTCTCTCTCTCTAGCTAGTCTTAAGAGTATTTCCCTTGTTGCAGGGAAATGTTTATGGTAGCATCTCTCTTTTGTTTTACAGTAACAATTCAGTTCTGTGATTGATTATTCTATGTTGGAGGGGTTTTATTTTTGTATTTTTCATCCTTTTTCTTCTTTTCTTATTCAGTAATACCTCAGGTTGCTAGAAAAATAAACCTAAATGAACCCCAAGTCAGTTAGTTTTGCAGTGTTTTTACCTAATTGTTACATAAATTGCATACTGGTATCCTGGTCTAGAGAAATGTCAAATGTCTTTGTGGTATTGATTGATATATAATAGAGGAAGAAATTAGACTTGTTTCCCAGTTAGTGGGCAGACAGAGGTGCACCTCAGGTCACCCAAACTGTGCTTCAAAACAGATTCTGCCATCTGCCAGATAAAGACAAAGCATACTATCAGTGTGAAAGACCTTGAATGGTATGATTATATATAGAGAGGGAATGAAAAGAAAGGATATAGTTTTCCAATGAAACACTCCAAATTACCCATTCCCTCCTGGGTAAATGCCCAGCCAACTAGGGTTGGCCCACGGTGGGGCTCCTGAGGCCCAAAAGCTTACCACAAGTCTCAGACACCTTTTGATGGGGAACCACAGGAATGGGACAGAAGGGGCCAGGCAAGTCTTGGACCAAAGGAGCAAATGAAAGTACAAATCAAGATAACTGCTGCCATCGTCAGCCTTGCCATGTGTATCTCACCTATATGTCTTTTGGGTGTCTCTACATATCTGGACTCCATGTGTCTCCTCCAAATCCCCAAAGTCTCAAGTGCAAGTGCAAAACTGAGGAGGAAGTGGGCCCTTCTTCACATGTCTTTTGTTCTGTGTGACTCTCTGCTGTGTCCCCTTCTCGTGTCTCTTTAAGAGTTCTCTACTTTTTTTTTTTTTTCATAAAGATTTATTTATTTATTTATTTATACAAGCACTGGGTACAGTCAGAAGTGCGGGAGGGTGAGAGAATTCACCAGAGACAGAGCGGGGAACAGAGCAGGCAGACTGACAAAATACACTGCTGAGGGAAGCAGCAGGCGCAGCAGGAGAGGTCTGCATGCCATGTGGGACCCTCGACGGCTTTGTAGCCCAGTGCTCAACTGCTGCGCCACCAGGGGAAGCCCACCTTTTTTTTTTTAATTTTTTTTTTAATTTATGCAAGAGTCGGGGTACAGGCCAGATGCGCAGGAGGGTGAGAAGATTCACTAGAGACAGAGTGAGGAACAGAACAGGCAGACTGACTGAAATACACTGCTGAGGAGAGCAGTGGCCAAGGCAGGAGAGGTCTGCTCGCCATGTGGGTTGCTCCAAGGCTGGCAGGGATTGAACCGGCACTGAGGAGGCTGCAGACAGCTTCACAGCACTGCGCTCAACTGCCTGCACCACCAGGAAGGCCCAAGAGTTCTCTATCTTCATCTGGCTTCTTAGCTCCATCCCTTGTTAGAAGGAGCAGTGAACCTGTAACCTCCCATTTAAATGGAGATTGCTCTGTTACATCCTGCAATAAGCATTATGGATTTTACCTGTATAGTGAATATGAATTCAGTGAAGGAAACCCAATTCAAACTTGCTGAGAAAAAACTGGTATATTGGCTGGAAAATATTGGGACATAATAGTTCTGAACCTGGGAGCCTTGATAATATCTGGAGTTAGTTTCTTCTTTTGTGTTGGCTTCTTTTGTGCATGGTTCTCAACATGCAATGGTGGTTTA